CATGGGAAACTCTGAATAAGATCAGTAGAAGCTGTAATTGTTATAGCATCTACTGATCTTACTGGTTGTGATATTATACTACAGCTTTGCACAATGCTACTAACCAGGGGAACCTGGGCAAAGTGTACAGCGAGTGCTCTGTATTATTCCTTACTACTGCATGAGCATGGACAATTATTTCATAAAAGTTTCAACCAAAAAGAGGTATAAAGCCATCGATATGTCTTCAATATGTGGAGAAAGAATATATGTATTTAGAAGGTAAATAGCCCTAACCTGTTTGGCTCAGTGGACAGAGTGTAAGCCTGCAGACTTAGGGTCCCCGGTTCAATTCCAGTCAAGGGTACGTACCTCGATTGCAGGCTCAATCCCCAGCCTTGCTCAGGGCATATGCAGGAAGCAACCAATTGATGTGTCTCTCTCACATCGATTTTTCTCTCTCTGTCTCTCCCCCTCTTTCACTCTCTTTAAAAATCAATGGAAAAACATCCTTCAGTGAGGATTAACAACAACAATAACAAAAACAAGGTAAATAAAGTAAAGAGAATAATACTTATTAAATATTAACTGCATAATAAAGACTTCCTGAGCATTTTGTATGCAAGGCTTCAATCCTCACAACACTATAAAGTATTATTAGTAGAATTAGTGTTATTTCTGGTTTTGATAAAGACTGAGACAGCTTAAGTATTTGTCCTCAGGGTCACAGAGTCAGAAAGCAGCTGGGCAGGAACCAAACGCAGTTTTGAGGCCAAGAATCTTTGTTTCTTTAGAGGGAGAAATCATAGGTAAGAATGAGGAAAGCATTTCAGGGGAGGTGCAACTTGAAGGACCCTGCAGGATCTTGAAGGACTAGAAGAGCTAAGCTAGCAACAAGCCACACAAGCTTATTTTAGACAAGAAGATGGAAAACACACTCTCTGAGAAAATGCTTCATTTTCCAGATAAGGAAATCAATGGGTATGCCTGCGTTGCCTCTCAGAAGTAGATGGAAGCAATATTCTGGAAGATCTTAAATGCTAAGCTGATATAAGATCTTCCTGGATCTGGTTAGCATTGTGAGAATTACTAGGAACTGATAAGACCAAGCTTGTATGTGAATCATCAACATTCACAAGGGATATATAGATGCTCTAGCACAAACCGATCCATTCCCAGGACCAAAGCAATGGAAAGCAATTTCCTCTTGGAAAGTTGGTATGTGAAGGGAGCCACGGACTATACTTATGACAATGAAAGCCATAAAGTGGTTGAGATTGATCATCATCCTATGTAATAAAACCCTATTATGCAAATCAAACAGCGGAAGAACCAGTCGCTCTGATGTACACTGACCACCAGGGGGCAGACGCTTAAAGCAGGAGCTGCCCCCTAGTGGTCAGTGCACTCCCACAGGGGGTAGCGCCTGCTCAGCCAGAAGCCTGGCTCATGGTTGATGAATGCAGCAGTGGTGACAGGAGCCCCTCTCGTCTCTGAGGCAAGCGGGTGGTAAGGAGCGAGGGTCCCATATTGTGAGAGGGTGCAGGCCAGGCTGAGTCCTCCCCCCCCCACACACACACACACAGTGCACAAATCTTGTGCACCAGGCCTCTTGTAGAATCATACTTGGCTATATCTGGAATTTAATCTAGAATCATGTAGCTACTTACTAATTTTTGATTGCCTATTATATGGCCAGCACTATTCCAAGGACTTCAAATATATCAATGAACAAAATGTAGTGACAAAACTCCCTGCCACCATAGAGCTCACCTTCTAGGCTTAGTGCTTATTTCTGATCAGAAAGGCTCTTATCAGAACCTAAGAACCATACTGTAGACTTGAGACCCCATGACCCTAGTGAGAAATATAAGGCCCTCTGGGGTGAGGCTGGGCAGCTCCGCCAAAGGACAGGCACAGCATTCTGATTTAGGAGTGAGGATGATCTTACCCCAGTGTGGCTACAGGGAAACTTAAGATGGGCAGCTTGTCAGGTCTTGCCTCTGAGTTGGATCAGGAAAGTGAGATCAAAACCAAGGTGAAGGATTGGCAGTGTACCCTTGAAGATGATTCAAGTTAACCTGGGGTACCCTCTCTTTTTTCCATTCCCAAACTGGGATTAACTTTGGCATCTTCCATGAAAGTAGAGAAACTGGGGGCTTTCCAATCCTAGCCTGGGTAAGTATTATTTCAAGACAAAGCAGAACAAGATGGCCTTGCATTGCAAAAGCAGGAAAGGAAGCTAGGAAGTAAGTACACCTGGAGACCTAGGTGTGGGCAGGAGATAGTCTACAACATAGGCTTGTGCTTATAAGATAGAAAAAGAGGCATGGAATTTTTCCCAGAATGCTAAGAGCAGCATACAGATGAAGAGAAAATTCTAAAAGATAAGCTGCTGGACACTGTCTCTACAAAAGACACCTAAGGTAAGTGAATGAGGCAAGAGCCAAGAGTGGGCAAATTTAGTAAGTGTTACCCCCAACCAGAGATCTTTAATCATTGCAAATTTTTAGTTTCCCACTAAATGTCTGAGAATACATATTTAAAATGTTTACTGACTTTGTTATGAAAAGATTCATTTATCTTTTGGGGGAAACAGTATTTTAAAGTTTGATTTCATTCCCCTTGACCCCTTTCCATGCTTCTGTGTCATATTTACAAGAATATTTAGTCATTTGCTGTAAACCTGGCTCTATTGCATATGTGTGTTAGAAACACAGACATCTCCTGCAGTTCCACAGTAACCTTTTGCATGGGTAAAAGAATCTATACTCACTATGCTACTTTTCTCATGCAAATGTTCTTGTTTTAGTCAATGCAAAATAATTGCCACAGATAAAGAAATCCTATTTCGAATTCCAAGCTGCACAGAACTGCTCTTGAATATACAGCTTTCGTTCACATTTCTGGTTGTCCCTTGAGTGAGAGTTCAGCTCTGTTACTAGGCACAGCATAGTGAGAAAGGGCAAGCTTTCTCAGAAGTAATGTTCCTGGTTCTGAGATAATAGCTGTGCCACAAAACACAGGAGCACCTTGGGCATATAGTTGGCAAGCTGGATGTGCATTCATGAATGTGTGAGTATGTATGTGTGAATATGTGAGCAAAAGGCCCACAAGAACTTCAATAAACTCTGGCTGGGTAGAGCATCATCCTGACATGCCAAGGTTGAGGGTTCAATCCGTGGTCCAGGCACATACAAGAGTCAACCAATGAATGCATAAATGGGAAAAGCAACAAATTAATGTTTCTCTCTTTCTCTCTCTCTCTTTCACTCGAAGTCAAAAATAATGAAATAATTTTTTTAAAAAAGAACTTTGATAGAGACAAGAATGAGCACAAGACAGACAACCCTGGCCCCAGAGATGGCCCATTGTGTTAGCTGCATTGCCAGTCAACAAGTGAGTAGGCTGGTCAACATGACTCTAGACCTCAGAATTTAATTCAGGCACAAGCTGAGGATGACCAGGGGGGCTTCTTCCCTTAGCTCCTCTCAATTTTGGTCAATTGAGGAGCTAGATATTGTCTCCCCCCCACACACAGTCAGGGTCTAAAATTATAGTGTCAATAGCCCCTCCCGTCCACTTCCTTCTTCTTGGCTATTTCACATCTCCCCCCAACCTATAATAATTAATTTGTCCAAAGAAAGGCTCAATATGGGTAAACAACTGTAAAAAAAGCACTTTGCTGAGCCATGAAGAGTATTTTAGGAATGGAAAAGGAAATGCTATATTTATTGACATGCAAAAATTAATATCACAACTGAATTTTGCATTGACATTTGGTGCAACCACCTCTATAAACTTATCTTGGGCATGAATCTGTGGTCATGGGCACGTGCTCAGCAAAGTGGTAAGTATTAAAAAAAACCAAATAGGATAAATCAGCTCTCGTGCAAAAAGTAAAATATAAATGGGGCTTTTGTACGTCAGTTTGGGCAGTGGAACAGAACAATTTTGCTCAGTAAAAAAGCTGCCTCAGAGTTGGAGATTTTTAGATTGCCTATCTTATGGCTTGATTGTTAGAAATCAATGTATTTTTACTTTTTTACAGTGAGTTTAATAAGTTGGAATGCATTGGGGAACATTTTGTTTTCTTTGGAGTATATCAAATCTCCTATAAAGTCAACACTAGGCTCCTATATAAAGTTGGGGGAAGGGAGAACACAAGCTATAGTAAAAATAATTGATAAATAACTCTTCTTATGTATTTGTTTACATAAATGAAATCTGGGTCACAGTATAGCATTGGCTCAAAGCCCATTGGAATCCTTTCAAATTAAAGATATAATAAATTCATATATCAAGTACAACATCATCTATGCATTAATTATCCCCATGAATTTAATTCCATCTCTTTAAAATATACCCCAAATCAGTAGCAGGAGAAATAAATATATTTCCTGGCAGTATTTCCTTAGACTCTTTTATACTTTGTGGTCTAAGCAAAACAAAATAAGACACACATCCGATCCAAACATCCCATCAGCACAGCAAAAATCTGCATTGTCTACTCTGTCCAGCATCACTGAGAGAATTCTTCAAGTCCTTCAGACACACTGAAATCTTTCATTTATGCTATGAATTCTGATGAAAGCCAGCATTTACCATTTTCAAAGTGCCCCCTCCCAAATGACTAAAAAGAATGTTTTGTTTTTGTTTTGTTTTAAAGGCTACACCCAATACATGTGTTTGAAAACCTTTCTCAATAGTGACATTGCTGATAAAACACATGCAGCAGATGAACTATCAGGTTTCTTTGTCCAGCTGTCCTGAAGCCCATTAGTGCCTCTGACTTCTCTCTTCTTTTGCTATAATTAGGATGGCTTAGGGTTTATCTGGGCCTTTTTTCAAAACCAGATTTCCTTCCCAGCAGCAGCAGCTGTCATTCACAAGTACCCTGCCCGTATTGTGGTATAGCAATTGGGAGTAGGAAGGGAAGGGACACACACACACACACACACACACACACACACACACACACACATCTTTATCTTGTGATTTTTGAAAAAGAGAAGCCTTACCTGAGGATGATCACTCTGTTCTGGAGCCCAGCTTGCTTCAAAGAGGTCATTAACCTGCACCTCGTGGCCCTCCGAGTTCGGGCTCCCTTCCTGAGTGGGAGCGCCTGGTGGGGTTTGCAGCCTTCTTGAGACTTGCTCTGCCTGGGGTGGAAGAGTCCCTTCTGCAGGGGTCTGGGAATTCAGATCAGGAGCTTCCTCTCTGGCATGCAAACTCTCTTGTTTGTCACTCTGGGCTAGGGGCTGCTTGGAAGGCTCCTGGGGAGAGAGGTGATTGAGGGTGCCTGCTGCTGCACTGTTTTCCAGGCTGGGACTCCGCTTCTTAGGTTTTCCCTTCGTGCCTGGTCGCAGCGCCCGGGCAGGCTTCTCTGAACTGCTCTTGCTCTGTAAATTCTTTCCCCCTACTTTGTGCTCGGGCACAGTCTCCAAACTCTGGTTCATCCCTGGCTTTTCTAACTCACCAGACAAGCGCTTCACCTCTCTGCATGCCCCTGCTTTATCCATGGTTAGCAGATTGTCGCTGGCGGGTTCTGCTCCTGCCGGGTGGCTGTCTCTGGTTTCTCCTTGAATTCCTGGATAATCATTTTCGGCAGAAGCGGTGGGTCGTTTATATCTCCCCTGCTCTGTCACCATAGACGTCCCATCCTCGTGAGAGCCCAAAGTCAGAGTCATCCCTGTGTGTGGGGCTGGGGGGCTGAGGGTGGAGGCTCGGAGACGCCTTATCCTCACTCCTTGGGACCGTGAGTGATCACCACTGAAGCCCGCGGAGGCCAACATCTGCCCGGTGTTATCTGACACCCTCGGCCCACAACCCATTTCACTGAGGAAAGGCTCACACTCCCCCAAGCAATACTTGCTCAATTCCACCTCTTCGTCATCGCTTTCTAACAAAAAAACACACTCAGTCCCCTCGAGGTGCCTTTGCCAAACTGCATTAGAGTAATCCGTCATAACGTCGGAACATTCCAGATACTCCAGGTCATCATCTGAAAACTCCTCAGTGTAGGTTAGGGTTATCTCTGGGCAAAGTTCATAGTCGCTCTCAGAGTCTGTGCTGGAAACCTGTGAGCTGGCCTGCTCGTCAGCAGGGGCCCTGTCACCTGGGCAGATGGATGTGGCTGCCTCTGACAGCGGAAGGCTGGCGCTAATGTACTTCTGTGCCTTGGGATTTTCATGGCTGGAGTGCGGGTCTTCATCATTGTTTAAGGCGCCATCTGTTAACTTTGGTAATGTGGACTGCGCTGTCCCAAGACGGTATACATACTCATCAGTTGCACTCGGGCTTTTCTCCTCCTGTGTCTGTGTCTCACGTTTCCAACCAGCGTCTCCATTGTCTTGCGGGTTAGGGGTGAGTTGTGCATTCTTCGACGCACACTCCACTTCAATGGAAGCAGAACAGCAGATCATTCCATCACTGTTTTTAGCAGAAATCTGGTAAATAGCAGTGTCACTTTGGGTGCAGCTAGGGTGAAGAAAGCAGACGGGTCAGTTACCACTGGTGAATGTGTATGCCGGCATTTCTTCCATCGAGGCACACAGGACATAGGCATGATCTTCACAGCACACTCAGGACACCTTACGTAAAGACACACTGTGGTCTCCCTGGGTTTGTAATCAGAGGCAGCTGGCTTCTGAGCTCCATCTGCCCCGGTTCTGCTAAGAACCCTGAGAAGCTCAGCCTTTTCCCTGAAGACTTCCCACACACAGCCTTACCCCAAATTGAAAAGGCTGCGAATTACTTAGATGAACAGGGAGATGTTGTATATTCTAGTCTCTTCTCTCTTTTTATTTTTAAGCTATGTTTATGCTATGGGACTTTGTAAAAGCAATCCTTTCTGGAGGGAGATGTTGTATACAAGTAACTGAAGTCTTCTACCTCATACAGTAGAACCGGGTAAGCAATGACTCTTTAAGACCATGCTAAGAAGGCCTGCTTCTTACCAGGAAACTATAAAGATAACACCATACTAGGATCATGTGCATGAGGAATAGTGATATTTCCTCTTGAATTTACCTGATTATTAGATCCAAACCACAGCCCGGGAGAGTCTCTGGGTGGAAACCCCTGTCCATGAGCCACTTGACTTACGTAAATCAAGGCCAGTGTTCCGCCTTGGCCCAGCAGGGAAAGGACTGAATCCTGGGTCATGCCAAGCTTGCTCTCCCTTTATTGCCTGGAGTCACGTGGGGCCTAGAGTCTGACATGCTTTGCTGACCTTTTCCGCTAGAATCCTCCTCCAGGCTCTGCAGTCTCCATAAAAACTTATTTCACTTGCTTTATAATTTGCATTCTCATTGATCTGGTTTGACATCATGGTGATTGTAACATTGCAGATCTCACTCTGTGTATTATCCAGCTAAGAAGTCAACCACATTCAGAAGGCAGGAGCTGGAGCCTGGCTGGGTCTTAGAGGAGATGCTTAGACGTTTACTGACTGATCTGTGTAAAATGTGCACAAATGTCTAACCCAGAAGGTCAGTGTTAGACACACACAGCTATGGCCCATCGTCTTCCTTATTCTTCTTCCTCGTTGGAGGGGCCCCTTTGTCTCCCTGAGCTCACATGTACTCATAAGCTCTCAAACGTTGGATGCCAGCTCACAAAGTCCTCATTTTTGGAAATCACAGACTAATTCTACTTTTGTTCACAGGTTGTTTTGTTGATAACTTGGTTCCCAAGTAGAAGCCACTCAGGGGTGGCTAGAATTGGCCACCCCTGACCCATAACTAATATCTGATTTTGCTTGGGAAGGCTGAAATTTAGGGCAACTTCTTGGGGAAAATAGTACCTGCTTCTGTCTATTTTATAAGGTTATTCTGAAATTAAAAACAGAAAATCAGCCCTGGTCCATGTTGCTCAGTGTGAGAGCACCACCCATGCACCAAAGGGTCACAGGTTCAATTCCAGTCAAGGGCACATACCTGGGTTGCAGTTTCTATCATCTAGCCCTGGTCAGAGCATGTGCAGGAATGGATAGATATGTGTCTCACACATTGGTGTTTCCCTCTCTCTCCCTCCCCCAACCCCACCTTTCCACTCTCTAAAAATTGATGGAAAAATATCCAAAAAAAGAGAGAAAGAGAGAGAAAATCAATGTGAAAGAGTTTTGCACAGCAAAAACTTTATGCCATATGTATTCTATAAGAATGTGGGTAGAGTTATTAGCTAACCAACTATGATAATTATATTGCAATCTCTATATTATATATAAAAGCTTAATATGCTAAGTGTCCAACTGATCAGTGGACTATTTAGTGGACCACTTGACCAATTGCTGTGACACACACTAACCAGCAGAGGGCAGATGCTCTGACCAGTAGGTTAGCTTGCTGCTGGGGTCTGGCCAAATGGGACTGGGCGAGATGAGCCAGACACACTCTGGAGCTCTCCCTCTCCCCGGCCTCTAAAATATCTTTTCTAATTAATTTCCTTTCAATGTGCACAAATTTGTGCATTGGGCCTCTAGTATAAATATATCAAATCAGTATGTTGTACACCTTAAATTTACACAATGTCATATGTCAAATATGACTCAATAAAAAAAAGAAAAGGATGGGTAAGTGCAAAAACCAGGCTACTTCTGATTCTCAAGAAGTTTATGAAATAATCATCAGTGACTCTATTTAAAATTCTTGTATCAGAATCTGTGGTTAAAGGACCTAAGAATCTGCTTTTAAAGAACTTTACACAGCCCAGCTGGTATAGCTCAGTGGTTGAGCGTTGACCCAGGAACCAAGAGGTCACCAATTCAATTCCTGATCAGGGCACATGCCCGGGTTATGAACTCAATCCCCAGTAGGGGATTGAGGGCCTGCAGGAGATAATGTTTCTCTCTCATGGATGTTTCCATCTCTATCCTCCCTTCCTCTCTCTCTCTCTCAAAATCAGTAAAAATACAGTTTGGAAAAAAAATTAAAAATAAAAGATCTCAACACATTCTTCTACAAATCATCCTTGGCCCACCCTCAGAGATAGCCTTATCCTCATCATCATTAATTAGGCATAGGTCTCCTCAATTAAAGCTGAAGGAGTAATGGAAAGAAAGAGAATTCTACTTGTTTCACATTGTAGATTACATTCCCTTTATGTCTCTTTTCAGTGAGTTCTTAGAGATTTGGCCTCAGTTAAGAGCTCATAAGGCCCATGAAACAGCACCATGGGCTTCTGTCTGGAAAATCCCAAGTAATTCTGATTTCCAGGCCATGATCTTTCTGCCAGAAAAACCATCTTCCCTAAAGGTATCATGACTTACATGGAAGAGAAAGAGACAGATGAGAAGAAAATAAGGCCAAAAGGCACAACGGGCCTGATAAGAAATCAGTAAAGGAAGGGAACAGAGATTGCTCTCAAGAATTAAGAAGGGAAAACAAAAGGAATTTTAGAGAAATAATTTGGTTAAATATATTTAACTTCTGAATGACTAAGTGGATGAGAGAATGTTCTGATTTAGTAATGAATGATTTTATGGAACATGTGTTTAGCTGATATAAGACTTATAAGTCATCCTAAGTACAGTACAGAGGAACGGGAACTGGATTAAGTATAATTAACTTCTCCCTGGTTAATGAATGCCTTTTTATGAGTTACGGTTTGTGGTTGACGTGTCCTGGATCATGATCTCTAAGCACCTTAAAGAGGAGGGGAGGAAATCGGGCAGGGAACCAGCATTCCTTGGAAGCCTCCTCTCTGTTCCGCCCTGTGCTAGCTGCTCCTTGGCTGCAAAATGCAGGCTCAAGGAGCTGAGTAATTCCCCCAAACGGACAAAGCTAGTAAATGGTGGCGCTCTCATAGGAAACCAGATCTTTCCAACCCCGGAGCATGGTGCTGTGTGTCCTGTTAGAAAACTAGCGTCAGAGAGGGGAAATGACAGAGTTTAGAGAGATATTTTTTGCAAATATAGTGTACCTGTCCTACGTTTTTATCTTGATTGGTCAACTGACCAACTTGTGTCAAATTATGTCCTGATGCCTGGTATGTTAAGAGCTGAGGAAGAGTCAAGGAGATGCGTGAGACATCATGTCCAGCCCTAAAACAATATGATGCCAGTGGGAGTGGAAGAGGGGCAGGTAATAATATAGGTTTCTTAGAGAACCTTGCAGGTCGGTCCTGTACTAAGTTGAGTGATACAAACTGGAAGAGCCAGGGAGTCCAAAGAAGAGACTTCAGAGGTAGCAGCTGAAATGGTGTGAATAGGGTTGGGGTTTAGAATCTTTGCACGATACTGGCAGAGAGACCTGCTTGACCCACAGTGATCTGACAGGAATGTAGAACCATCCAGGAAGAAATTCCCTGAACAATTAAGCGAGGCCTCCTTAGTGTCTTTCCTTTTGGCAGAAGGAAGCAACAGCATTCCTCTAGCTTGCTGTGAAAGCCTGGCTTGAATATTCTAGGTACTTTCCGAAGTAATCACTTCCATATTAAAGGAAAAGAGCCCCATACAACCTTAAGTAGGTGGGGTTCTGAGCTTGAACCTCCTAGATTGGTCTAAACCACAGGTTCTCAAACATTTTGGCAGTAGGATGCGTTAGACTCTCAAAAATCATTGAGGACTCCACAGAATACTTATTTATAGGCGTTATATCTATCAATATTTTTCACACTAAAAGTGAGAAAAATTGAAAACATTTATTTATTCACTTAATAATAACAAAATTAGGCCCTGGCTGGTTTGGATAGAGCATATGTCTACAGACTGAAAAGTCTTGGGTTTGATTCTGATTAAGGGCACATACTTCTGATGAAGGATGCAAATATTCCAAATTTTTAATTAAATGAATAATACAAATATTAATTTATCATAATGATGCAGTCAATTCTGTTAAGTTGCATGGTAGAAGCAGATGGTGAGAACATCAGCAAAATGGCAGAGTAAGGATTTCTGGAATTATTCTCTTTCATAAAATCACAAGAACACTATCTGAGTCAACTTTTTCAAAACTCTGAAAATTGCCCTGCTGGTATGGCTCAGTGTTTGAGCATTGACCTGTGAACCAGGATGCTGCTGTTGTTCTATTCCTGGTCAGGGCACATGCCCAGGTTGCAGGCTTGATCCCCACTGTGGAGCATTCAGGAGGCAGCCTATAATTATTCTCTCTCATCATTGATGTTTCTATCTCTCTCTTCCTCTCTGAAATCAATAAAAACATTTTTTTAAAAAAAAAAAGCTCCTAAAATTAACTAAATCTGAGGAGCATTTATTCAAGAGGGAGCAGAATATGGTTGGAACAATTCCAAAGCCCCATCACCCTCTTAGCCACTTTTAGATATTCAATAGAGTATTGTTAAAAAACAGTCCCTGTGCTGTACACTACATTCCCAAACTGATTTACTTTATGACTGTGGTGATCATTTCACAACATATGTGAATATCAAATCATTATATTGTACACCTGAAACTATTACAATGTTACATGTCAATTATATCTAAAATTTTTTAAAATCCAAGCTTTCAAGCTAACATT